CGCCTACCACATGAACTTAATTCCAGTGTAACCGTTTCTTCAAAACATGTTCAGTCAGTAGTTCATCCGCCCATAGTAATGAACCTCACGCGGACTTCAGAACGGTTAGCAGCGGAAAGTTCACCCGCAGTCTGTCATCAGTCATTCTTCCATACCGCTTCGAGCGCTGTCGGTCATCATTTGCCTTCATCCCGGGTCTCATTAATGCAATCAATACTGAGACGACAGTGCCCTCTCCCTCGGCCCCCCCTCCCCCTCTTTAACCCTACACAATTTTAAATCCCTGATCAGCCCGTAGGATGACCTCAATTCCAGTTTAAACACTTCTCAAACACGCTGAAGCCGCTCCAAGATGAAATCCTCTTAATCTATAAAGCCGCGTTCACTATTGGCTGTTAAGTGTTACTATTTTTAAATTTAGAGAGCCGAATCTTGGCGAGGATAACCTGGGCGATGGCCCTCATCCCAGCACTCCAGGTCTTTGATTTGTACTATGAAAAGAAACTCTTCAAAGTCCATGTTCGTAGCAAGTTACCAAACGGTCTCTGAAGTGACCGACATATTCTTAAATAGACTTGTACTCTTTATTGAGTTATTCAAGCTCACAAATAATGGGAGCTTTGCTTGCAAAATCATGAATAAACCAGACAGTTTCTTATGGAGTTCCTCAGTTGTCTTGTCACAGGCAGCTCATCGTAAATTATACATTAATATTATTTTTGAAATCCTTTATATTAACTTCGCTTTGGTTCGTATGTTTCTTTTCCACTGGGTATGTGGGAAAATATTCCGACGGCTAATTGACCCAATTCCTGTCAACCTATTGAGCTGAAACTTGGCACATCAGCTCGTTGCCGATGACAAGACATTCCTTCAAATTTTCAGCCCCACCCCTCAAACCCAACCCCCAAAAATCTGTTTTTCCCGTTTCCTGAAATATGATGCCACTAATTTCACAAATTAAAATTCCCAATAACTGCGCTAAATGATAGTCTTTAAAAATATTTATATATCGCAAGTGCGTTTGGTGCGTATATTTTGTTTTCTGAACTTGTGGGTGAAATAAATCTGTGGTGTGAAAACGGCTGGAACATTATAATATTAACATAGATAAAATAATTCAAAATGCATATAAAGGATTTATTCGTAAAACTTTTTTTTTTTTAGAGGTTGTTTAATTAGTCCGAAATATAAAGACTAAAATTTCGTACTAATGTATTAATTCGTACTTAGGGGATAGCGTTTAAACCGTGTACTGGGAATTAGTCACACGGAATATTGCACAGTTAGCAGCTTGAAGGGAATGATCAAGACAATCAAAGGAACATTTCTTCTAGAAACTTCGATGGGGATATAACGAAATAACACGAAAAAAAAAAAGAATAAAAACAACTTTGAATATCAGCAAGGCAACAAGAGTTACAGGAAGTGGTTTAAAACCAAAACGTACATGTTACAAAATGAGGTTACATTAAATAAAAGAATTTCGGTAAAGCTAATATGAGATGCTTTTTTTTCCCCCAAATGTTTGAAATGCTATCCTTTCCAGATGTTCGTAGGATATTACTCTCCCCCCCCCCCCCCCCAAAA